AGGTTTAGAAAACGGGTAGAAATTTAGAGATCATGCTTCTGGAAGGTAGGATCCTTGAAATCTCAGTGAGCCTGAGACTTAGGGTCGAGGAGGCTGGTGCACACCTGATATGATGAATTTCGGCTAGATACTGGGATATACCACCGAGTTTGACGGATGCCTTCGCAGACAGTGAGGGAAATCAGTCAGGCAGGGAGATAATAAATGATTTTTTGATTCCCTAAGGGGGACTATGATAGGAGTTTGGTGAAGTGGTTTTAAGAATGAGAGGGAAAACTTGGATCTATATTTCCGGCACAGCAGGGAGGGGAAACCGTTGGGCCGGAGCGATAAAGCTGGAATAAGTCAAAAGAAGCATGGAAGACGTTTTGATGGTGACAAGAAGTACCACAATAATTCAGCAAATGATTAGTTACTCTGTCCCAATTACGAGATCGTTAATTAAAGAATCTGACTACTCTGCAAAAATTGAAAGTCAAAGCATCAAGGCTAGGATGCAGTAAAGGATAGACTTTTCTAAATATCCCAGAGAGGAAATGTGATTTGACAATTTAGTTCCAGAATTGTGTAGTTATACGCTTTACGGAGACACTTTTGGTCTCAAGAACAGGCAATTTGGTAGCATCTACACCGACACACGTTTGTGCAGTGCTATCTTCAGCCATTGTCCCGAGGTGCATTTGACTGTCCTCTCCTATTCACACAGGCAGAGGGGCCAAAGTACTTTCTCGCCTAAACTGGTTAACACTTACATGGTTGCGTATAAGGCAGATCTGGAAGCGCACATCATAAAGTCTGCTGTATCATTGAGCGTGAATGGTCACTCAGATTCATTTGCCTCCTTCATCGGTGGCAACTTGGAGGTAGAAGAAGTCTGGCCCAAATGACCAACATTAACAACTGTTGACTCGAGAATGAAAGAATACTTTATGGAAGGTGCGTCGAGTGATGAAAACTTCAACATTTTATGTCATAGAGCCTTGAAGCAATGAAATTGTCCATATCAAATGATCGGTGTGTTGCACAGACAAATACATATTCCACATTATCTTGACTCTAGCTGTCATGGTTATTGATCTGCATACGTCTATATATTACGCATAATATAAATATACACTTTGCGTTATGTGTTGGCTCCTTGCCCCAGCTACGTTGGCAGAATCAGAAAAGTACATGCACTCTTTGACACTTCCAAATGGCGTGCCCGCGATCACGTTAAAGTGACACCC